TTGTTGAACAGGGGAACCACCACCCCAGTCTGCCAATCCAGTGGCACTGCCCCCAATGTCCACGCGATGCTGCAAAGGCGTGTCAACCAAGACAGCCCCACAACATCTAGAGCCTTCAGGAAAATCAGGGTGAATCTCATCCACTCCTGGAGCCCTGCTGCCTTGGAGCTTTTTAACTACCTCAGCGACCTCAGCCACTAGGGGTGTAACGGTACACATGAGTGTACCGAACCGTTTCGGTACGGCATGTACGGCAAGCCCGAAACGTGGCTTTAGGGACTCCAGCGGCCATAGTCAAATGCATTTCGGGGGCCAGAGCGGGCGACATAGAATCTTATCTGAAACTGCTGACTAAGGCTAAGCTAAATACAATAAGATTGTTATTCAAGTCGGCGGTAATGACACCTGGTTACGCCAATCGGAGGTCACTAAAATTAATGTTGCTTCGGAGTGTGACTTTGCTAAAACCATGTCAGACTCTGTAGTTTTCTCCGGCCCCCTCCCCAACCTGACCAGCGATGACATGTTTAGCCATATGTCATCGTTTAACCGCTGGGTGTCCAGGTGGTGCTCTGACAACGACGTGGGCTACATAGATAACTGGAGTTATTTCTGGGGAAAACCTGGTCTGATGCAGAGAGATGGCATCCATCCCACTTTGGACGGAGCAGCTCTTCTTTATAGAAATATGGCTGATTTTGTTTATCCCCCAAATTATTGACAACCCAGGGTCCAGTCCAGGAAGCAGAGTTGTAGTCCTCCACACCTCTCTGCTGCTTCTCCTCTGTTACCCCCCCCCCCACACACACACACACACACACACACACACACACACACACACACTGAAACAGTGTCAACTCACTCACGGCTCAAATTAAATAAACCAAAAATCAGCTCTAAAAATATAAACCATAAAAATCTGATTAAAATAAACACAGTTACTTTACCAGAGCAAAATCATAAAATCATTAAATGTGGATTATTGAACATCAAATCTCTTTCCTCTAAATCCCTGATAGTAAATGATCTGATAACTGATCATCATATTGATTTATTCTGTCTGACAGAAACTTGGCTACAACAGGAGGATTTTGTTGGTATAAATGAATCCACTCCTGTTAATTATTTAAATGTTCATGTTCCTAGAACAACTGGCCGAGGTGGAGGAGTAGCTTCTATTTTTCAGTCAGGATTATTGATTAATGCCAAACCAGTTATCAGTTATGATTCTTTTGAATCACTGTCCCTCAGTCTTTCTCATCCAAAATGGAAATCAGATAAGCCACTTTTACTAGTTGTTATATATCGTCCACCAGGCGCTTACTCTCAGTTTTTGTCTGAATTCTCAGAATTATTAACTGACATCTACTCATTTTTATAATCACACTCTTGATTTAGTTCTGACCTATGGTATAGAGATTAAGGACTTGGTAATAGTTCCTCAAAATCCTATTCTGTACGACCATTTTTTAATAACCTTTGAGTTTACATTAAATGACTACACAGTCGCTGAGAGTAAATTTCATCTCAGCAGGTGCTTATCAGAAAATGCTGTAACCAAATTTAAACAATCTCTTCCATCAATGTTTTCCTCTGTCTTGCAGAGTAATGCATCAGAGAACAGAGACTTAGATCATCTAGTTGATCATCTTACAACTTCAATGCAAACTTCACTTGATAAAATTGCTCCACTGAAAAAGAAAGTAATCAATCTGAGGAAACTGGCTCCTTGGTTCAATTCTGAGTTATGTACTTTAAAGCAGGCATCTAGGAACCAGGAGAGAAAATGGCGCTTTACTAATGTTGAAGAATTTTATTTAACTTGGGAAGATAGTCTGCTAACATATAAAAAAGCTCTCCGTAAAGCTAGAACTTTATATTACTCATCTTTAATAGAGAATAAAAATAACCCTAGGTTTCTGTTTAGTACTATTGCTAGACCAATTAAAAGTCCCATTTCTGTTGAACCATGTATCCCTACAACTATAAGTAGTGATGACTTCATGAGATTCTTTATAAATAAAATTATTTCAATTACAGGTCTTTCTCAAAAAATTAGCATATTGTGATAAAGGTCATTATTTTCCAAATTGTAATGATAAAAATGAAACTTTCATTTATTTCAGATTCATTGCACACCAACTGAAATATTTCAGGTCTTTAATTGTTTTAATACTGATGATTATGGCATACAGCTCATTAAAACCCAAAATGCCTGTCCCAAAAAATTAGCATGTCATGAAAAGGTTCTCTAAACAAGCTATTAACCTAACCATCTGAATCAACGACTTAACTCTAAACACCTGCAAAAGATTCCTGAGGCTTTTAAAAACTCCCAGCCTTGTTCATTACTCAAAACCACAATCATGGGTAAGACTGCCGACCTGACTGCTGTCCAGAAGGCCATCATTGACACCCTCAAGCAAGAGGTTAAGACACAGAAAGAAATTGCTGAACGAATAGGCTGTTCCCAGAGTGCTGTATCAAGGCACCTCAGTGGGAAGTCTGTGGGAAGGGAAAAGTGTGGCAGAAAATGCTGCACAACGAGAAGAGGTGACCGGACCCTGAGGAGGATTGTGGAAAAGGGCCGATTCCAGACCTTGGGGGACATGCGGAAGCAGTGGACTGAGTCCGGAGTAGAAACATCCAGAGCCACCGTGCACAGGCGTGTGCAGGAAATGGGCTACAGGTGCC